TCTCTTTTTTGGTTGGTCGAAATAACGGGATGATGACGAAGATGGTGATGATGATGAGAACGACGATGATGGTTTGAATATTTTAATCCAAAGACTCCACTCAGTTAAGGAAATACTTATTTGAATAAAATACCACCTCTCTCTTTCTCTCTCTCTCTCTCTCTCTCTCTCTCTCTCTCTCTCTCTCTCTCTCTCTTTAAAAAATGTCATGCAGCTTTTCAAATTTGCATAATGCCTACATACTACACTGCAATAAAAGTTTTACACACACACGCACGCACGCACACACATGCACACACACACACACACACAACGAACACACACGCACACACACGCACACACGTTTTGATATTATGAATAATAATAATAATAATGATATAAACATCAAGGACATTACATCAATATTTAAGATGATGACGAAAATAATAATGATGCCGCTAGTGGTTTATTATTATTATTGTTATTATTATTATTATTATTATTATTATTACAATTAATTTTATTATTGTTATTATTAATACTACTACTATAATTTTTAACATTGAATAAATTAGTATAGCAATTATCTAGACTTGTTTTACATAAACATAAAGACGGGCAAGCTATAATCAGGGTAATTAAAATTAGAAGGTCTGACATTTAGATCGCTGACGTCATAATCATCGTCATCATCATCGTCATCGTCATCGTCATCATCATCCATCGTCGTCACCATTTTCACCATCATGGTCATCCTCATCATCATCTTCATCATCTTCATCATCATCGTCTTCGTCACCAACATAGTTATCACCGTCATCATCGTCGTCGTCATCATCATCATCATCAACCACAACCTCTGAATCAATTTTTTTGAAATTTGAATAAAGCAGAACTTTAGAATTCAAAAAGTGAAAATAAAAATAATTGTTAAACAAAAAAAAGACTAATTTGCATGACGAGTAATAATAATAATAAAACTTTTAAAACCACAAAAGTTACTAATATTTAAAAAGATACACACATACATTCAAACACACACACACACACTCACACAGACATACAAACACACACATATATATACAAACATACCTACAGATATACATTTACATACTAGAAATGCACCGAATAGTGAATTCGACCTAAAAGCCGAATACTAAACCCGCAA